TATCAACCTCCCCTAAATATTATGGCAGCACACACTTCAAAAATACCAAAAGCAGATGAATAATTTTTCCTTGGCTTTCAACCCAAAAGCAGCAAAACGGCAATAAGCGACTGCAATGAAGAAAAGAGACACAACAGAACCGTCAAACTGCAATGGAACCCACATTTTCCCTTATACAGGACAGAAAAGGCATTTGCTAAACTTGCCTTTGACTCCTGCAAAGAGATCTGCCCCTCTCTTCAGCAACAGCAGCTGCTGTGGTCACGTCTCTCTGGTCAACTGCAATTTCAGTTTACATATCAAAGAAAGAGCATCATACAGGCAATTAYATAATACCAAACTTCTACACATATAATTCATCTCCAATTAATGCATCCAACTCTTAGTTTTTAGATTTCCCGGACAACAAACACAAAGGGAAACTTGGTCTAGCCCATGGAAAGACAACTGCTGATATTTTTTTTTTCCGTCCTTAATGGAAGCTTTGCCAAGAGATGGGCTGGGATTATAAACCATACCCTATTCTCTGCTTAATTACTTAGCTTTCGCTCTTAACTTGGCAAAACATTAAGCTTTTCATTTTAGTAAATCTATAATTAACTTCAACATGTGCTGAGTAAACATAACCTCATTTTTAATTAAATCTTAGAACAAGATGCTACAACTTGCCATCCTAAGAAGTATGTGTATCAAGTAACATGCAATAAAACCTCGAATCTTTGTCTAGCAGAAAGCTTAAGTCCAACTCTGAATATCTTCCTTTTAAGTTGTCCAAAAGAGCATTCACTAATTTCAAGATAGAGATACAAACCTTGAAGAACTACCAGTTCATATCAAAAGATTTTGAGAATAAAGTCAACATCAAGCCTAAATAACACAATAAAAATAGAGAAACTTGGCTTTGGGGCTCCTGAAAAGTTATTTTTTCAGTACATTCTTTTGCAATAATTTCCATATAAATTATTTTTATTTTCTAAGTAGGAGTTGACGTATCACATATATATTACAAATACCAGAAATCAAAAGGAAGTTGCTAATTAGTCATTTATAAGACAGAAGATTCCAAAAATTTACTTGTGGAAAGACATTTGAACACTACTAAGACAATTCTGAATTAAACATCAACATTCTGACTTAAGAAAAATATCTGTAAAAATAAATATAATATATACCTGTAAAAATGTAACATCAGCTCTGTTATTCAAGTTTCTACATGAACTACAGTCATGATATGAAATAATCATCTTTCCTAATTGCTGCAAATGTAAGATTTTTTWAAAAAATGATATCTGGCGTTACACATTTCCCAACGGCCCTAAAGAATTTAGAGGATTAAGTGACACAGTTAAACAGTAGAAGGCTTCAGAGTTTACTTGATATTCAAGAATTCCGTGAAGCAGAGCCAAACAAAAGAACCAATACGTTGTTAAAATACAGCAGSTACAAGATTTACAACTTAGAGATGAAAAAAAAGTTGTGAATTTTAATGAAAAAAAGGGYTCAAGAGAACTTTACAAATATTAAGCCTCATACAATATTTATTTCTTTTCACTGCTCCACAACTCCCGGAAAGAGTGTTCATAGAGTTTTTCAGTTAATAATTTTGATTGCAACAGAATGTAGACACTGATAACTTCCATTAGGCAGAAGTCTTACTATTCTTACCCATAATATATTCAAAATATGACTTCAAAGGAATTGTAAAGTATTTTATTCCAGACATTTTATATTACGGCTCAGTTGTGACATGCTTATTTTGAACAATATTTTCCTACAAGCTCTCAAAACTTTTAGTCTAGTCCTTTTTCAACATCTCTTGTGACGTTTTAAAGATGCATAAAGAAAACCACATCGTTTCAGTGCTAACGTGCAATTAAACAAGGTACCTTGAGGCCAAAGTACGTGATCTTATCAACGGGTGACACTGATTGGGTAGTGTTTGCTAAGCACAAAGGTAGGATTATTATTTAMACTGCAGCAGTGCCACAGCAGAGCAAGTGCCCGCTAATCTCCAAGGAACACTATCTTCATGCCTCACCACCCAATTTCTTCAGGAAACTAAACGTTTGTGCATTGCTGCTGTTTGCATGTATTCTCATTACTCTCTCCGCTCTGCTCCCCCAAACTAACTTTTTATACAAGTTGGCCCAACCTGAGAAGAAGAGAGAGAGCATGTTATCTAGTACTCACATGTTTTATGAATTAAGGGATATATGAGAGACATTACACTAAAATTTTGATGCCCAAGACATTAAAGGAAAACCACAACACAGGCTCAAGCTTTGTAAAAGGCTGAAGAATACCTACAGTTAGATTCAAGATTTAAATTTTTTAAATCATTAAGTATATGTCAATTGTGGTAAAACAAATTTGCTAGGTTACTCTAAGATGAGTCTTAAAATACTAATACCAAATGTAAAAAGCACAACTGTGCAGCAAAATATTAAAAATAGGTAATGAATCAACATATGTTATTTGCATCATTTATTTCAGTTCTGAATCAATTACAATTAAAAGCAGCTAWATTTTTTGTTTGTTTGTTTTGTTTTATTGGTTCATTAAAGATATTACTCAGAGGTTATTCTTCTTCTCGATCTCCATGTAGCTACAACAGAAACTGGAGGGACTTAGAAAACCTGGCAATGGGAAGGGACAAARAGGAGGAACAACAGGTCAACAGCACTTGAAATAAGCATCTTAGCCATGACATCACTGTGCTGCAGGTTGGCCTAACTGGTTACACAAGGTGAATGATGATCAGCTTTTCTTAACTGGATCCTCTACTGTGCCATACAGCTCACTGTCCATTTGTGTTATCTGTGTAGAAGTTGCAGGTAAAACAAAGGTAATGATTTTTGAAAAGCTGCCTTCAGAAGTGACCATCACCTATACCCAAACTCATCACGTTATTTATTCATTACACACAAGCTATATCTGCAGAAGCTAAGCTACACCTTTAATGCTCACTTAACATTTTATGAATTACTAAGAGAAATGAAGAGGTGTCTTTCCTTAAAAAYGCACTGCGATGCAGTACCCATCATGAAGAAAGAAGCTCACAATGACACCTAGTAATGTAGCACAGGGTAATTACATCTCTGACTGCCTCCTTCTATTAACCTTGCCAGTTTTCCTGACAGAATGCTACTTAACACCTTACGAAGATTGACACTATCAGTGTCACTGAAATAAAAGTATTTCCAATGAGGTAACAAAACTTGTTGTTTTCCTTTTTTTTTAGTTCATGAAATGTATTTTTATACCTCAGCATTTTGTTACAAAGAGATTGTCAAAATCTCCCCAAAGAAAAAAACAACAAATTATTAAAACATCCTTGAAGTGCTAGGTTAAGGAAACRGACAATGCAGTATTTGAGCTGAGCAAACTCTCCAGCACAAGTGAAAGATTAATCTTACTTGGACTGATAATAAACAAGCTGCACGATGCCTGTTTGTGATGGTAGTGACAGCACCTGAATAGACAGGATTAGTAATGATATCAATAATGGTATTTTTATATATATATATAAAATGCTGTACTCTGCGAGCCACACAGACAGATTGGACACCAGTGGATTCTTTGATTTAAAAGTAGGCTACAGTGGAACCACTTCCAAACATGCATTTAGAGTTCTGTGTGCCTGAAAATTTCACTTATGCAAGATGCTTTAGTACCAAGTTGTCTTCAGGAGAAAATAAATGCAGCTTGCCTACACAGCTAATACCAGTTCCTAATCAAATGTGGTAGACTCACAATCAACTCTTCAGTAATGTAAATTATCCTTTTGAAAGTAGTCTTTTTTGGAACCTTTTTAAGTTAATGTGTGAAGTTTTGCAAAAAAAATGTGTCACTTTTTCTTTGAACAAATCTTTCTTTCATGAAACAGCACCATAAGGTAAATTATCTTTGAGGAACATAAAGCACACTCAAGTCACTCCTTTCTTTTGAATATAGGACATCTGAAAATTGATGGAAATTTTACTGGCCTTAGGTCGTAATGTTYAACAGGTTTATCTAATTTCATTCCACAGGATTTACATCGTCATATAATTCTTTTTTTTTTTTTCTTTCTAATCATAATCACTCTTTGAATTGTTCTACAAAGCTTATTACGCCCAGGAAAGTACAAGGAAAGGACAGCTCCATTTCTGCACTGAGAACTTGAACATAAAATAACTACAAAATATTTCTTAAGAATACACAATGTGAATTCATAAACGTATGAAGGTCAGATTGTGAATTTATTTAAAATTAGAGCCAAAAGCTAATCCTGTTAGATTTAGTCCACTATTTTTGAACTGCTGATCTTACATTTTTATCATGTGCAGATCAGAAAACAAAAACACCCAGAGCAAGATTTAAACAACAATCATTATGATCATCTCCATCTCATCTGGAGAAGAAATGAAAATGAAAAAGAGAATCAGCAYTTTTGCTTATCAAAAAACCCCTGAATTTTTCACATTTACTTTGATTTTATTATTAATTGTATTTTTAATAATAAAATAGCATGACCAACATTTGTTATCTGATGCCACAGTGAGGTTGAATGCCACTAGCAAACCTACTGGATATGTCTTTTTTTTTAATACAAACATGGAGTTATTGTGCTAAAAGATGGAGAGGGAAGACTGGAATCGACTACATTTTCTAAAATTAGAACAAACATTATCTTATCTATATGACATTTGTCATTAGCATTTTGTGTTTTCCCTAAGTTGTTTGACTTTTCTTGATAAAATAGCAAAAACTGTTAAATAGATGCACTTTTTTCCTTCAGAAGCATTTTTCCGAACTTTACCTCAAGTCAATACAGCATGGCTTACTATTTTTTTAAATATACAGTATATTTAGCACAAAATACTATATTGGTAATCCTCGATTCATCTTTAAAGGCAAGCTTTACTGCAAGAATAGAAAAAAAACTAGAGCAGAGCAGTGTGCAAATTAAATTCAAATGGGATTGGTCATTGTTGCAGTCCTCACAGATTTGTACTTACCTGCAGGTAAGTATTTCAGCTGGTTGTTAGCCAAACGAAGATGACGTAAAGATCTCAGGCGGCCAATCTCCGGGCACACGATTTCGAGGGCATTATCACTTAGATCCAGAAACTGCAGTTTAACGAGGGAGCCAATGGCTTGTGAGAGAACAGATTAAAACATGAATGTGACCCAAGAGTAAAGTTAAAATCTTAATAGGACTAGGAGAGGATAAAAAGCCACAAGGTCCAACACCAACATCCGAGCAGATTGTGACGTACTGAAGTCTGTCTCATAACTGAATGTCAGAGTTTACAGACATGCTTATCTACCTAACAAATAGTATTGCTGGCAATGAGATGGAAAGGAGAAAAGAGAAAAAAACAGAAATACACAGGATACTCCCCTATTTTCCTCAGAGTTCTGCTCTGAAATYGTTTTAATTCCTTTGTTCAGAACCTTTCCAAACAATATATATTCAGACACAGCTTAAAATGCTTTTCTGATGTTGAATACAACTCTACAATTACAGCAAGGAACAGAAGCTAGGACAAGTTTTTGATGCTTCAGGGTTAAAATATTTCATGAACAAAAGCAGAAGACTATTCTAGGTGGTTAAAGTCTCAAAGCAGAAGACACTCTAGTTTTGTTTATGCAGACGAGTGCCATTTACGGCTTTCCACTTTCTGCAATTAGAATTGAAGCAAAGAGCATTAAGGTACATTTGTGAACTCATTAAAATAATTTAACATACCATAAACAAGGATATTACTGATTAAGGGCTACACAGATATATTTTATATGATAATCTAAAATTATTGTTTTTTCTAAATCTAAAATTATATGTTTTTTTAATGAGAAGAAACAAAGGAAAAATATGCCTCTTCAAAGAAAAATGAATATTTTATGATTCCTGTCACTTATTGTGAGCTTGCAGGTTACTTACCTTCAGGTACAACAACTATGTTATTTGAATGAAGGTACCTGGGGGAGGAGAAAAGAGCAGAGGATACCACCTGTTACCCTCAAGGACTTGTGCTACATCATCAGTTTGCAAAAATATCCAATTTCAGATTGAAAGAGAAGAGCACCCTCAAAGCTATTCCTCTCCACAACCACAAGAGCTGTGGAAACTGTACTAACTGGCAACAGACAGGCACTTAAGTTTCACTTAGCCCATGATTATCGTAAAAGAATGGTATACAGTTACAGAAACAAAACATTTACAGTTACAACAACAATGGGCTTCAGTTTTGAGGCACAAGAAGACAACAAGGTAAAAGAATAAGAGAAAAAGAATAACCAAAACAAAATGTGTTTTAATCTTACGTAGTTATTATTATTATTATCACACTATGGTAACAAAACCCTCCAAACAAGTTAGGTTAGGAATGAATAGCTTTCTCCGTAGATAAAATATTGTCATGTCTTAACTGACTGCAGGGACAAAAAGCACATGATCCACTCACCGTAACTGGATTATTTTAAAGCACATTTTGGAAAGGAAAATCCAGTCACGTACAAAATCATCAGTAASTACTGATGGGGAACTGATCTTTCACTAAGACTATTCAGCACCCTCTAGTGGGGCACACTGAGCAGCAGTGTTGACATAAAAAAAGATCTCACACAGCTTTCATGACCAAAATTGAAGAATTGGTTCCTGTTATTCGTTTATTTGGAACAATGACTAATATTGACATCCATTTGTAAAAAAAAACACTTTAAAAAAGTGCCAAACACACAGTTGTTTAAGTACACACTGAAATATCTTTTCCAGATCCAATCTACTTAACTAGTATTTCCAAAAGCATGAAACTTTTAGGGGAGATGCAGGCAAAACAAATAAAAGAACACTTCCATGACTTATAACTACGGTGATATTATTTTCCTTTATCGCTATTTCCTGATGACAACCCATGGCAGATCATCCAATACTACCTATATCAAGTATGAGAATATTGTAGTGCTTCACAGCATATCCAGATTCTCAATATTCAAGCATAATGAGACACAGTCGTCTTTCAAGCGAGAGACTGCAGCGACCTACAAAACAGTCCAATTATCTTGTGATTGCTTATATCAGAAAGATGCAGTTTCAAGGGTCAAATTAAGATTACAAGATCAGACAATTGCRCTACTCAGATATATATCTCCTTGTCTGGAATATTTTATAAACGAATGATCCATTTTTATTCAACTAAAACAGTGTTAAAAAAAAAAAGTCCTACTATAAAGGCAAACAAGAGCCTTAAAAGAAAAAATAGAAGAGAAAACCACTGACTCACGAGTCTACAACTCAAAATTAACTGCCAAAACAATACAYGTGACCCCATTCTTTGGGCAAGATTGGATAAACAACCTTAAATGGTTACTACTCCTGCTTGCTAATTCCTGCTCCTGTTTGACAATCTCTGACTTGATTCCAAAAAATTACTATTACAATCAGCAAGACTGAAATCATACTGCTAGTTGCCAAGGTAAAAAGCAAACAGCAATGGGCTGCAAGCAGTAACTAGTTACTCTGGCTCTGCTGCATCCATCTGACCACATTGTTGGGAGGTTCCACTGACAACAGGACAGGGTGATCAGTGTGACAACACCACACACAGGACTTGAAAGTTCTTTTTCCTAAGCAGTATATGCACTTGTAAAGCAGCTGTTATACAATAAATGAAGAATAAAACAAAATAGACACTGAAAGTCTGAATGTACATCCTTTAAAAAGGAAACACACACACAAAGAAACAAAAAAGACAAGGATGACCCTTCTTCACCCTCCAAGAAAATCCTTCACTCTTAAGAAGTGTGTGTATGTGTGTGTATATATATATTTATATATGCAAACAATACATTCTTCAATTATTTTAAGGCAAGACGTATAAGCGCAATTAAAATATATTAGAACTCCAACACAAACTCACAATTCCACGAGGTTTGGAAGCTTCTGTGCAAGGTTTTCTGGCTGAAAGAAGAGTTAGAGATTTTTTAGGTTTAAAAATAAAAAGCAGACGCATTGTATTCTGTATCCAACTCATTTTAATAATCATACTAAAACATTAACTGCTAGAAACAAAAAACTGCCACAAGAAAACTGTACCCAAGGCCCCACTTGCAAATTCCCACACACTCTCCATCTGTGCAATCTGGGATATAACGAATGTAAGCAATTCACTACTGAAACTGAACTACGGCCCAGAAATGGCATTACTATGTCCTCAAGTAAATGGTAGTCAGTCTTTTGAGGCTGAAAATATGGACTAACAGGGCCTTACTTTTGAAAATATATTAAAATAATAGAGTTGGCAAAAACAGAGAGACTGCTAAGAAGCTCCTGAGAGACTTAAGGTAGAAAGAACATGAAGTATTCAAGATATCTAAGTACATAACTTGTTTTATTTTGTATCGCTAGTAAACTGGGAAATGACCTGGAATATTTGTGTAGCTTAGTCAATTACCACCAAACCACAAGCATTGAATCCATGAAATTAGATTTCCTTATTTACATATTAATATGAACATCATTTTCTGTCTCTTAACTGATTCTTGGCTAGCATTTTTAACCATGAACAAATACCACAAAACTGGCTTGAGGAATGCCAAACATCATGTTGATAATCATACTGGAAGTTTTACAAGGTTATGTTTCATTACTTACTTTAAAGAGGGACTTCTAGAGTAAACCATATCTATTTCTTAACTGTTTACAATATACATATCAGACCCACATAACAAGAAAAGCAGCTCAATAACACGGTCAACTTTCCATTAAAAATTTAGCATTTTCTACTATCAGTTAAGATACATTTTCACTTAAAACACATAACTTTGTGGTTATAGATTTATTGTGGAGAAATGTGCTAGCCTGAAAAAGTAATATATTACTCGTATGTAACAAAGATTCCACATCCTAGATCTGAATACCAAAAAAAAAAAAAATCTTTTAAACTAGGGAGTAGCAAATAGCAAATGATGACCTCGTAAAAAAGTGAACCAGTTGATGTCAATTTTCAGGAAACAAGCTATATCTGAGCAGGTGTTGCCACCTACTGGCAGGCTTGTCACAGTACCTTTATCTTTTCCCAACAGCACAAAATTTTTTTGATCAAAYGAAAAACCTTAAGCTGGGAAATATACAGAGTCTGCAAACAGCCTGAGCACAGCAATTCAGCTTTTTAATTTAAAAGCAAAGAAGGCATGTGGGGAGAGAAAAAAAAAAAAACCCACACCTCACTGTTGCCCCAAACCCCTTATTAGGGTAAAAAAGATAATTTGAGACAGCCACAATTTTTTTGTACTGGTTTTTTTTTGACTGTTTCATTTTATAAAAGAACTAAATCCAAGATATACAAGTTTTGCTATACAAATTGTATACAAGTATACAATTAGGAAATCCATAATAAAAAGGCTACTCAGAGTATAATAATGACGTGCTTGAGATGAATTTTTTAATACAATAACATATAATAAAATTAAGATCAAAAAACATCCATGTATTCAAAAGTGAAATCAGTGACAGACAAACTCCAGTCTCTTTTGGTGACAGGAGTAGAAATAATGATTATAAATCATCACTTCTGTCAATTTGAAAAAGTTTCCCTCCTGCTCACACCCACATGGCATTTTTCACAAGGCAAATATGCTGAGTTGTCTCAGGTGGGCAGCAAGACACATTCTGATTAGGTTATAAACAATAATTCTTCAATATGGCTCAGTCATCATTCTGACCCTGCCATCAAGGTAAACTTATTTCCTTTTTAAATGGAGAAATAGGATTACTGAAAAGCTAATGTCATTAATCAAACATTAAACAAGAAGAGAGTGGAAGATTTGGCTACAGGTGGTTTATAAAGCTCCTTCACCCATTCATTATCTGATGTTTCTCTAACATTTCACTCCTGTAATAGAGGACAAAACTAAAATTTCTTCTTAGGTACGGTATACACAAAGCCTGACAGTGTGCTTATGGTCAGATGTATTCACAGGAGCACTCATCCAACAAGGATTGGAATCATTTTAGAAGTTCAAAGAGGAGCAAAAATTGATTCAGTCAATATTTCTCAAAAGCCAGAAAGTACCACTTAACTTTAAGGTGAAGAAATATGATTCAGATTTATTTTTATAATGATTGCTAATAATTTATATACTCTCTGAAGCATTTACTGATGAGCTAATGCACAGAATCAAAGGAGCAAAAGGCTGAAAGACATTAGAATTATATCCTCTTTATCACCCTCTCTTGCAGTAGCACCCCTCAAAAACACCTGTGCATTTTCTCATGCAAAAGCTTCCAGTGAAAGAAATACAAAGGTCTCCTCCATAACCTATATATGAGTAAACTGGAACTCCAGACTGCAAGTCCCATCCCAGCTTATGCATTAACAGTAACCAAGAGCTACTCCTAGCAACTTAAAACCAAGGTTGTTAACCATTGTATGCCCCCTCCCCCCAAAAAATTTGCCTTCTTTATACCGTCCTACTCACTTGCTCTAACTTCATTAACACAAAACCTTCAAAATCCTTCCAGTTTTTGCTCCATCAAGTGAAACCTCATTACAGAATACTATTGCATTATTGTTAGAACTTTAAAAATGACTCCTTAAACTGGAATATTGCACTTATTGCTAGCAAGGATTAAGAAATACACAGTTTTGACCAATGCTAAAGAGTATCTTTGTCCTGGCTATTAGTTTTCTCTATTTTACTCCAAAAAACCCAGGGAGAAAAAAAAAATTGGAGACTTGAGCTCATTTAAAAGCTTGTAAATTGTTTTACAAAAGATTGTAAAAGCTTTTGATTCTATGTAGAGTTTTAGTAGCTCCTGACAAAACTAAAACTACTGAATTCTGAAGTCACAACATTCATTCAGCTTGAGAATTTGTTCAGTTCATGGAAAGGAAGGAGCATGGGGGAGTAAGGAAGAGRGGCAAGAAAAAAAGACAGAGACAGCCCTGAAATTAGTTTTGTTCWGGTTATCAGTGGCACCTCACCACAAACACAAGCTTTCATAGGTACATCATCAGCTAGCTTAGAATTAGTTTGTGGAGTTGACATTGACTTGGCACACACCAAGGTAAATATTGTTTAGCCTAATGAAAGAATGCAGTAGGGAGGCCTGACCACTGAGATTGCGAGCAAAATTTCTAACAGTTAAACAAAATAAAACTAAAAAGAGCTTCACTGAGTTTCAAAAGTGTAACCATAAAACAGGGCATAGGAGGTCTATAGAGAGCAAGTAATACAATAAAGAGGTTGTCGTACCAATGTGGTCAGGGAATTTCTTTTCATATAAAGTCTCTCCAAGTACTGCAGGCCCTCATCTTTCAGTAACTCCAAAGGAAAGTGATGTAGGTTTCGGTAATTTAAGAACAAGTTCTTGTGCTTTTCCAGCTTCGCCTCAGAGATTGTTTTACACAGTTCTGATGCCATGACTAATTCTGTTCCAAGCACCACATCTAGCGTAGTGCATCTTCTGATAGCAGACCCATTTCTAGGAGATAAGGGGAAAACAAAAAAAAGGTTTCAAGGTTTATGCAATGACTCTTTTGCRGAATTAGTTATAACATATTGTTGGGTAATCTGTCTAAACACTGTCGTTCCTTTTAATACATAAATGAGGATATAAACCTTTCACACCCAGGTCAACTAATGCAAGTCTTCAACTGTTTCCTGGATAAAATTATAGGCTGTTTTCAAATGAGACGTAAGACATTAAGATATTCAGAACATCTTCCATTTTCTTCCACTTCTTCCATTTTCCATGAACCTTTCAGGTAACAGTCAAAGTTGACATCACAAAAAAAAAAATCTCTACTGATAATTACCTGATACTGTACATCCACTCTGTGAAGCGAGTTAAAAGAAAAACCCATTTACCAAGTGATCATAAAAATAATAAATGTATGATTTATCACAGGACTTCCTACCTTTAGCYGATTAAAATACTTTCACATCACTTTTTATGCCCAAATGACAAAATGCTACGATGTTTTGGTAGACTTTCCCATGSAAAACTACAAAGAAATATTTCAGTTGGAAACTGTATTAGCTTGTTCCTTTATTGAAAAAGATATATTTAATCATAGCAGATATTGCAAATGAAGATATCAGGCCTCAATAGGAAACCTATGTAATAAGGTAGTTTTTGTGATTTAATCTTCTTCCCCAGAACTGCACTGTGCATGTAAATCAAACTACCTCTCCAGTGTAAGTAACTCTCTCTGATTTCCAGACAAGCAGCTTCTACCAGCCACCTCTGCTCTTCTGCARGAATAAAGCATTTATTTCTTAGAGAGTTCCTCATCACAGTTTTCAGCTAGCACCACGAACACCTCTTGTAGCAATCAATTACCCCTAATGCAAGCTATGTTAATATCAGTTCTGTATGCAAAACTACCAGGTATCTTTAGGAGATAGGTTATAGACACAGTTATCCTTCGCACTTGCAGTGCAATAAAGCTCTCCTGTAAATTGATAAAGAAAATTAAGACTTCATTGTTGCCAATTCCACATCTGTAGTCATCATTAAAATAATTAAATAAATAAAAATAAAAAGCAATACAATTTTTGAAGTGCATAGTCCAAGAGTGCTACAACTCAACAAATGATAAAGGAACATTCACTTTTCCTTGATAGTAAATGAAGCAGTTTTGGCTACATTAACTACTTGTGTGTGGATTCCATCCCATACTCTCTCTCTCTTCCCCTCTGGAAGTTTGGCTTTTAGCTTTGTTGGGTTTTTTTTGTTTGTTTGTTTTTAATTTTCAATTAAAAGATAAGAAGCCATGAAACACATACATAAACATCCATCAGCGTTCCTGCTGGCCCAAGTAAGCTATTTAGACGCCCTACACAGGCAGCCTCCTCTCCTTACACCAGCGGGACGACATTTAGGCAGGGCACAATACAAGGACCAGAACAGGCAAGCCCACGAGAACTGGGACCACTCATAACCCAGCCCGTTTGGTTCTTACTTCCAAGGAAATCTTCCTACTCTCTTCAGCCATCAGCCAAATCGCTGTCCCCGAGTAGTGCCACGAGGAGCCACAACACTACCAAGACAGCCACAATCACAGGCTCTAGACGAACGGGGAGCGAGGATGATGAGGACACACACACACACACCATGACAGTGCTGCGAGGGCTCACGTTATTCAGCACAGAAACGCACCGTTCAGAAAAGGGAACGCGCTCGCAGGGCTGCACACCCGGGAGCGGAGGCGACGCACCGGTGCGGGCACAGGACACAGGCAGGGGGCCGGGAACCCGTTACACCCCCCGGCCCCCATCTCCAGAGGAGCCGCCACCAGCTTCCCGCTGGGAACTGCCTGTGCTAGAGAGGGAATGGGGACGAAGGTGGCAGCGGCCCGTCCCGGRGAGGGGACAACGGGGCCCGTCCCTACGGGGTCGCCACAGGCGCCGGAGGCCGGTGAGGAGGCGGCGGGGCCCGCGGGACCTCCGCGGAAGGCGAGAGCGGCGCGTGCCCCTGCCCCTCTGTGCACGGBGGCGAGCGGGCGCGTCCCCCTGCCCGCCTGCAGGGCCGCGTCACCCACCGGGGCCGGGTCACTCGCCGGGTCACTCACCGGGGCCTCAGGGCTCGGCCCGTCCCTCCCCTCCGCTCCGCCGGCCACCGCCGCCAGCCCGGGCACCCGGGGGCGGGACGGRGTCGCGCGAGACAGCGCGCGACTCTCGCGAGGCGGGGTCCCGCCCACCCGGCCGCTAGCCCAATCATGCGGCGCTCCCACCACCCTCGCGGCCGCTCGCCCAATCGCGAGTTCTCCCCCCTCATGACCTAGACGCCCGCCGTCAGCCAATGAGAGGGCGCTGCCGTTAGCCAATGAGGGGGCGGCTTCTCTCAGCGGCTGGTTGGGGATAGTCGCTCGTCGGCCGCGAGGCGGGGGGTGCTTCGCGCGTGGCCGTTGGGACCGTTTGAGCCGTTGGTGACGGTTAGGACGGAGCAGAGGCGTCTTGTCCTTCCGTGCCCGCCGCCTTTGCCTTCCCGCGGGGCTGTTCAGGGCCAGCAGGGCCCATTCAGCCTCCCGCAGCCATGACCAACCCTGGGCTGAGTTGTGCACAGCAGCTCTTGAAGGAAAACAGCACCTGTAAATAAAAGTGTGCTGGTCAGAGACCATCTTCCTGGTCAAATTCCCGATAGGTAAATCCTATCCAAGGGAAGGAGTTGTACACCATTTTACATCAGGACTTCTGTGACAGCAAATTCCGTCATACTGTGAATATTTAATGTTACTGGGGTGTACAAGTTCTCCTTTGGTGAAGCCCCACAAGTTGCCCTAAAAGGAATTCCAGCTGGAAAAATCCTCTTTAATTTTCCGTAAACTTGTCTGAAGAGCAAGATTCATGTAGCAGGTCTGCAGGTGGCAAGAAGCTGGATGCAGTAGCCGAATATCTTTCAGCTAAAGTATTTTAAGCAAAGCAACGTGAAAAATCTTGAGGGTTTTTTTTTTTCTTTTTTCTTTTTTTTTTTTGTGCAAACTCATTCATCTCTTCTGGACTGAGCAATTAAGGCATCCTTAATTAATTCCATTGCCTTCTTGCTACACTTGGAAAGGCATTAATTGATTCTGACAAGCACACTTTCTCGGTCTTACTTGCTACTTGCAATCCTTTCTATTTTTTTCAGATAGGTTGCACTGTTGAAATAATATGAGCTGAAATAATTTGCCCTTCAAAATCCAAGTCCTTCCTGTTTATCGTATCATACTGCACACATTATTTCTCACTGCAGTCGCTCTCTGTTTTTCTCAGTGGGATGCTAATTTCCTGGAAGTRGCCTGCCTCTATACCACCATTGTTTTAAAAACAGCAATTGCATCACATTTCTTAATGTCACTTCAGTCCCACATTATAAATACCCGAGAAGTTCAAAGTGTATTTCAGACCAACGCAGAAATTGAATATGAGCACAGTTAGCGGTTAACAAGACATTCGCATTTGGAAGGAATTCAAAGATGGGTCAAACCCAATGTTCTTATCCAGGAAATGAGGTCACTGGTCTGGACAGAAACATAGTGTGGGGGAGAAAGCTGCTTTTCTGCCATCTTCCACTTGAGTACAAATGGTTAGAATGAAGCTTTTGCTTGAGACACTACTCCTATCATAACCAGGATGCTTAATTTATTTCTTTGTGCATATGTTGTAATCCCATTCTTGCTTCATTTGGAGTCAATAAYATAGAGGGAAATAAAACTGCTGCATTCGGAGTTTTCTTTGAGAACAGGTTTTTGTCTACTTTTCTGTTCACACCACTGAAAGAGCCAGAGATGAAAGCAGTGATAAAATGCCTTTGGTTCTTTTTTGTTATGAAAAGAGATTCAGCTGAGTGCTGCAGAGCAGTTAAGAATTAATGAAAAAAATTAAAGGTCTTAATGATGTTTTAAGTATTGGGGTGGTCAATATTTCAGTGGGGTGTTTTAAAACTGAGGTTTTCAAAATGTTGAAGCTTTTTAATCTTTCTTTTGTTCTCTAAGTGAGAAAGTCCTACTAACAATGCTGAAATGTCTTCTCTGGCTTGCAAGTAAGAAGTGATCTGTATATGATTCCCTACAGATTGCTTTCCGATTGGCAAGAGGAAGGAGTCTTTGTGGAATGAGGTGAGCTGTTCTTTGCCAAAACATCCAACCAGCCTTTCCACTTTCCTCACCTGTTCCAGAGCGGTATCAGGTTCATATCAGCTTTATGCAGGTTAGTGCCAGTTATCTTAAAGCTTTATGGTGTCCAAAAGAATTCCTAATCCACTGTATGTGCTCACATATCGCTTCATCTTGTGACTTGCCTACTGAAGCCATCATTCAGGTTTCTCTATTGGCTCGAGTAGCCCACAGTCGTCACTCCTTATTATTCTCAGTCTGTTTTTAATTTCCTGGCTGATGCCATCACAGATTCCCAGGCKTATGTCACCAAACTCTGTGCAGCACTTCTAGAAAGCACTGATATCTCTGTCCTGAAAGCCGATCTCTGAAGATTTTATCCTGCCCAGCACAGGTGTAAAGTCTTGCCTGTTTAGTCACAAGGCTGAAAATGAAAAGCAGAACAGCGAGTGTTGGAACCTGACCCTCAGTTGCAGGGAGGGTTACTTCATGGTTGCCAAGTCATTCCTAACTAACAAGTGAGACTAGAGGGAAGCCCTTCTCTAAATATATTGTTATTATTTCTTTACCCTAACCTGCTTATTTTCCTTTTTTTGCTTGTGAGAATAGGAAAACAGAGAGGCTTGAAGTCTATATCTTCACAGGAGGGTGGCTGATCTCACCTGTGCCCACATAAACAAATGATGAAACTTGTACAGAAGTGCAACAGCTTTGTAGGAGTAGACATATTTATGTTGTTTCCAGCTGCCCATGTCTTGAGGACTCTCCTCCATCAGTTGGTCAGCTGGAAGATRCCCAGTAACTGAGATAAGTGGGCAGAGCTCCATGGGTCATTTCCCTGTTTGTGCTCATTATGCAATCCAACTGAATATAGCTTGAGTAAAGATGGATGATGATATATTATCAGACTTATTAGACAAGGTAACTATTTTGAGTTTAGCAATGCTGGGAAGATGCAAATGAAAGTATCTCTAATCTATTTAGTAAAGCTTTATTCAGCCATTTTGTTTTGTTTTGACAAAGCATATATAAACATTGTTTTAACTGAGTTTTTTTTTGTGACAAGATGTGTAGTTCTGAATTCTGAAGAATCAGGAGGTCCAAAACGTCTTACTAAACTGTTGAACCTGAAGTCCTGAGCGTTCTGAGGTTCAGCCTCTCCTATAATTATGGGTGAGTTGTTCCCAGACAGTATTGTCAATATGTTTTATTGTGATTCATGCACATGAAATTAGACATTTCAAGCTTGGAGTCTGATATTCGAAACATTCACTAAGCAGCCAAACAAGGGTCAGTTTTATGAGCAGGAAGCTATAGTGTGAATGATTAATAACAGAGGGACTGTTTCTGCTTCACTGTCCAATAGCAGATGTTACAGTCCATGCTCTCTATCATGTTAACTGACACTATGAGGTGGACTTTCTCAGACATTACTATATTCTGAGAATTACAGTCCAGCAAAAAACACATTAAAACACATTAAAAAAACACATTAAAACACATTAAAAGTGTTTAATGCACATCAGTATAGGATTGGTTTTTTCTGCACCAAGAGTCTTTTTCCCTCAAAAGAGAAAAATAGCCTTTTATGAGGATGTTTTTCTTCTAATAAAAGTTGAAGATCTTATGTCATCTCTGGATCCACAAATTGATACTTAAAGAAACAAACTTCCCTATTTTCCTGGAGAGACAACATATGCAATAGTATGATAATCACTACTAAGAATTGTAGTTTACATTTTTTTCATCCAGATATTCCTATCTATTAATTCTATTTATTCATGTTTTCATTTCACAATGCAAACTGTGAAATCTTTATCTCTGGTAAAGCTTTTTCAGTATACACAGCTTTCACATACACAGTGATGTGAGATCTCAATTAGTGTTCATTTTGAAAATTTAGGATCTATTGCTTTCAGCAGTTATTCTCATTATACCTGGTGTCATTGTTTTGTTTCTTACATCATGAATAAATAAATTCACTAAAAGATTCTCCTTTTACTGATGCAGAAAAATGTCTATTGTCCAAAGGATCTATTTAGGAGATCTTTCCTAACCCCTGATTAACCATTTTAGTGTAGTGGCAAAGCTCTGATTTGAGTGGAACAAAACTAAAGTGACTCGTTACAGTACCACGAACTCTTGATTCCTTTACTTACAGAAGTGGCTTCTGCAGCAGTACCCAAAGCTGGAAGGCAGATGGAGCTCCTGCATGCCAAGTGCCAACATTCCTGTATTTAATATCTAGGCATCATCTACCCTTAGTCTGTCTTTTTATTTATTTATTTAGCATGTATTTATTAAACCTTAACCAACTCCTTTTCCAGTTCCTTTTTCAGTTTGCTATGTATGTCTTAATGGCAAAGTAATTCTGAGGAAAATGCTTAAGTGCCCTAATTTGGAAGCAAGTTATGTGCATTACATAATTCATTACATAGTTCAAGTCAGCTTTGCTCAAAATAGAAGCTTTTTAAACATGTCAATCTCCCATTTGGCCTCAGCTTGTTATTTGAGGGGAATTTCCTAATAGTCACATTGATTATGGTGCGGAATGGATTTCCAAAGAGATGATGGAAAGTGCTAGTAATTTGGACAATACAGTGATTTGAACTGAGCAACCCTAGTAGATAATAGGCGAGTGGTGGATTTTGGCCCTGATCTTGCAGTCTCTGCTCATATTAAATCCCTACTGATATAATTAATCTTGAATGGAAAAAGAACAATGTCCCAGTGACATCCGTACAAACCAAATTCCTCTCTTAATGCAATCCACACATACAACAATAGAGAGAATCAACTTTTCTGCCACAGCTCCATCAGGGAATCTCAACATGGGACCACCACAAAAGTAACAAATCAGCCAGCTCTCCATGGCTCAGTCAGTTATTAGTCCTTGTTTAAAGACTACCAAAGATATAAGTAGCTGATTCTGTGATTTCTAATGTGATGCCATGTTGAATCGATGCCCAAAGCTTCCAAATTAATTTCGATTGACCAAACATTATTTTCCAGCTTACTGACCTTGTTGTCTGACACACATGCRTTAATCAATAACATTTTTCTTTTCTTTTGGATTTCACTTTATCATAAACTTAAACTTGACTGATTTGATTCAATTAAAACCACTTACAATATTATCCACAGAATTTTCCTTCACTTTGAATGAAAGAAGTATTAAACCTTAAATAACAGATTTAAGTAGCACATGGATGTTTCTCAGTTTCAGACTGCAAATGGCATGAAATGGTCTTTGGTCTTTTTTTATATGACCTCAATAATTTTGTTTTTCACTACTGCCCTCTGCTGTCATTGATGCTATGTGGTGGTTATTTCTTCTTCTTCCTGGCCCAAGATCCTGGCCTTATTTACAGCACTTGTATCGAGGTCTATTTACAGTTTTGCAGAGATCTGCAATAATTGTAAAAAGCTTCCTGAGTATTTCTAATGGTTCATCGAAGGCAGAAGCAAAATTTACTATTTTTTTTATCTGAAAGTAGTGGGTTTAATGTTGTTCTAAAGATGTTCCTGCTTCCATATATTGAACTTAATCCAGTTCTCAATCTGATGTCACTGTTGTTGCCTGATGTCCTTTTGTCAGTAGAAATCCATCATTCCTATAAATTACCTTCAGTGCTGAATTTGTATACGTCTGTGTACAGTGTTCTTTAATTTCAGTACACATAAGCCTGAAAGGGAATAGATACACATACTTGAAATAACATACTTAACATACGTAAAGATATGGASTAACGTATTTTCGTATCTTTTTGAAATGTTTGTATTTCATATGGGAAAACTTCAAGTGAAGCGCTGAAAATCTGAGTTGTGTACGAGTGACCACTTCTGTGATTTTATTCTGCCATTCATATCAGGAGCATGTTGACTCTGGCCTGTTGCATTATGACAGAAGTGAGGCAGGTGGTGAGCTATTTTTCTTCCAAGGGAATATAAATAGTGAAGTGGGGGAAGCCTGGTGTCTACACAGCCTTTTGATTTATACAAGCATGTTGTGGAACCTGTTGTGGTGAAGTTAGATATAGAAAACTTGGGTACCTGAGCCCAGTGGGAGCTTTCCTTGTGGAGAGTGTGCAGAGTTTCTCCTTCCATAGCCTACCCCAGTGTTACAGCCAGGATCTAACCTTGCTGGACACATGAGGAATAGTTCAAGTGTATGGCCAAGTGTTCGCTGTGTGAGGAGGGATAGTCTATAGGCAACTTCTTGTTAAATGCAGATCTTCTGGCAGCAATCAAAGTTTTCAAGAGCAAACCAGGAGAGTCAAGGAGAATGGACATTTCTTTTCTCATTATGCTCTGTGTATCCTCTCAGAGATACCTGATGTGAATTCCTGAACACTTTGTGAGTGAAAAGTCCAGTGGACAACATTTGGGCTAAAATAGAAGTCACAATAATACATAATTGGCTGGAGGTGGTTCTAAGGTAGTGTTCAATATATCAGCCATGTAGTAGTGACTACCTRTCAGATACAGTTTTTGAGTCTTACCTCCTCCCTCAAATCCTCTCACTATTTTTGTGGCCTTTCATGGTACTTGCTGCAGTCTGTCCTTGCCTGTCTTGTACTGGGGAGCCCAGCACTGGACCCAGCTCTACAACAGATGTGACTCCATCAGTGGGGAGTAGAGGAGAAAAATCAGSCCCCTCCATCGGCAGCCCAGGATGCTTTGACCAGCCTTGCCATGACGGTGCATTATTGGCCTATATTCAACTTGCTGCCCCCACAGGACCCCCAGGTCCTTCTCTGCAAAGCTGCCCTGCAGCTGCTCAGCCCTCAGCAGGCCCCTGCCATCGGCTTCCTTCCTGGGCAGAGGACACTGCACTTCCCTGCCTTGAACTTCATGAGGTTCCTCTCTGCCCATTTCCCAGCCTGTCAAGGTCCCTCTGCATCAGCTACCAGGAATCAGCCACTTCTCCCAGTTCTGTATTAACTACAAACTTGCCGAGGGGACATTTGGTAGGAGTGTACTGAATTTGGACATTGTAGGAGGGTACTGAAACAACACAAAATAACTACTGAACATTTTTTTCCTGCAGAAAGACCAAGTCAAGGATCAATGCACAATAGCAGTATTAAAAAATAAGAATGAAAATGGAGAGGAGTAAAGTTGAGTAGATAAAAGCATCACAACRTAATTGCTTAGATAGATCTCATAGTGCTCTAGCCTCAGCTGCTATAATAAAGCATTTGAGTTTGTTCCATACCTGATGGAAGRGAGTCCAAAAGATGCAGAGGTTTAGCATGCAGAGGGAATTCTCCTTCTCCAGGACTTAAAGAGAACTAACAACAGACACCTGCTCCAAGGCACCTTCTTAAATTTAGTGTTGTGGAAAGATAGATAATTACATTCCTTCCACTCCTTCAAGGTATATTGTTATTTTCAGGGTCTGTCGGGGGTTGTGACACAGTATTCCTGAGCACTATTGAACTGCTTATTTTCAATATTGGAAGAACAAGTATAAAGATGTTATTTGCACAAGTTATATACTAGTTTAAAACCAACTTGAATCTGTCAGCTTTAGAAGGTCTGTAATAAGTGGAAGATTATTATTGTTATTCATCTTGCTGATCTGAATCTGTYGCATGACTATGTAGTTAAAACACCAAATTGTTCCCTACACGGAGGACTTCAGAAAGGAGGCTATTTGACCTGACTAACAATTGGATTTAGTAGCTGAACATCTGATACAAAGTCAGTTGTTGGCAATGAGAAAATTAGTTTTAATTTGTGCAGAGCATTGCATTTATAAAGTTTGATTCCCTGAAAAAATATTATTTCTGACTTTTTTTTATGCCACAGTGGGTAATCATATTTGTGGTTTTATGTGAACTCTTTTGACTTCTTGCATTTCTTATTTGATTTTGCAGTGTACATTTGATGAAATATAATTTTTTCTCAGGCATCTTGGCAGTTTTCAGTGCTATGTATTAGTCTGCCCTTCCTCTGCCTAATCTATAGCTTTCATGAGCAGTATCAAACTACCAGATGGAGCTATGGAGACCTGAAGCTGAGAACATGAACAGCTACTTCAGGCAGAGCATTGGTCTCAGCATTGACCTACTTTATTTTTTTTACCTTCTTAACTAAAGTATGTTTAGAATTCTTCCACAACCAGCATGTTGGCATATTCAGTATTTGTTTGTTTTATTGGCACTTTT